GGCTGAGATCCAAGCAGAGCTAGGAGAAAAACATTGGAGAGAAGGGAGGAGGAGGCGACAAGTGCTTGTGATTTATTATTTAGCTGTACTGCAGATCGAACCCAAGCCTTCGCACTGAGCTACATCCTCAGCCCTTTTTATTTTATTTTTTTATTTTGAAGCAGAGTCTTACTAAATTGCTAAGAGACTTCCCAGGCTGGGGTCAAACTTGGCAATCCTCCTGCCTCAGCCTCCCAGAATGCTGGGATGTGCAGGCATGGGTACCACCATGTGCCCTACTCCCAGCTTTCTTCTTTGACCTGGGCTGAGGGATCACCCCAGACTGGCCTGGGCACCCCAAGGCGGCCCTACTGAGTGTTAGTTACCCTCTGGAGGCCCAGTTGCTTCCTGACCCTGTGTCTCACAGCTCCAAACTCACGGGAGTGTGTGGCCGAGAACCCCGAGTGCAGAGGTGATGGGGACTATGGCCCTAGGCCTGCACTCTCATGCCAGGCTGTGGCTTTTCCAGATCACTCAGCCTTCGGGAAGCTGGCTGGCCCAACGACTAAACTCCAGCAGGCAAACAGGGAGTCTGGAGAGCCGGGCACTGCCGCCTCTGCCCAGCCTCCTCCTCCAGGAGCCTTGGAAGGAACAAGTGAGCTGCCAGCAGCAGACAGCCGGGCCAGTCCAGGGGAAGCTGAGAGGTACTGACCCCCAATCTCTGCAGTCCTGGGGCTCAGGGCATGGCAGGGCCAACACCAAAGCCCATGCTGGGCTATCCAGTGTGGTTCCCTGGGAACCACTGGGCGGCAGCAGAAGGGGCCTGGGCTCCCTGTCCCGGTTCATGCACTCACCAGCTGGTGATGCCACCGCATCAACAGTCACTCAGACCCCCAGCCTCCCCCCTGCAAAATGGGCATAACAAGAACACCTTGTGCACATTAGGCAAGCACTTAGCACTGAGCTAGATCACAGCCTGGACTTTTTTTTCCAGCGCTGGGGATTGAATCCAAGGCCCTGTCCTAAGCTACATCCCCAGCCCTTTAGTAATATTTCATTTTAAGAGAGCCTCAGTAAGTCACTCAGTTATGTGAGCTGGGCTCACAGTTGTGATCCTCCTGCCTCAGCCTCCCAGAGTGCAGGGATGGCAGATGTGTGCCAGCTCACGTGGAAACAGCATGCACCTCACTTGTGTGGGCCTCTTTGGTGACAGCCCCAACTGTCTCACCTAGGGCAGCTTCACAGGTCTGCAGCCTGTGTGGTGCTCAGAAAGGCCCAAACTTAAGCTTTAATACTCAGACACGGTTGCCTTGGAATTGGGAATAATTTCACCTTTGCATTTGTGCCATGCACTCAAAGCATGAGGCAGGGGAGCAGGTGCCAGGGGGCTTGGAGACTCAACTCACAACAGATACCGCCTCCCCAGGACACTAGGTCACTCTGCTCCCTCGCCCCTGCCTGGAGGTCCCTGTCACGTGGTGGGGGCCTGGGCACAGGTGCTGGGGGCGTGGGTGTGGCCTGGGCATGCTGCCCACCAAGTCACATGGATGCCGGCAGGTACCTGAGACTGTCCACCTATGTCCCGAGAGTCCCGTGCCTGAGGGAGTGCAGCAGGAAACCGAATAGAAAGCAGGTAGCAGGTGGAGAGAGGGCTCTGCAGAGACAGGAAAGACTTCCCACCTTTCGCACAAGTGGGGGCGCAGTTCCAATCTGCACTGGCCCTGCCTGCGTCTCAGTGGGAGAGCCTGGGGCCACTGTTGGGCGCACCTGCTCCCACCCTCGGAGACTCGCACCCTCTGGCCCGGAAGTTCCACTCTGTCCTCAGAGAGGTGCACAGGAGGCACTGCAAGGATGTTCACCTTGCTGTTACTGACGTTAGTAACACCAGTTGGATGCCCAGGGACAGGGAAAGCCACTGACACAGTCCTCGAAGCCCCAAGGACCATGTCAGAGAAGAAAATGCGTTGCTATGAGAAAAACTTGTGATGTTGGGAAAGGGAAAAAAGTAGGTTAATAAAGAGCACGCACCCGTGACCACATCTGCGTACCTGCACGGGGAAGGATGCACCCATAAACACTGACGGCTGACCAGCTCGGTGGGCCATGTTCCCCCCCGCTGTGCTCATCTGTTTTCTGGCTCTGAGCAAAGCATCTGTCACTTCATCGGTGCCCGGAACCACTGGCTGCCCAGTGCCGGGCCAGGTGCTGCAGGCTGACAGGATGGGTCAAGCCCAGCTTCACTGTTTCCCCGGCCCACCAAAAGATTTTTTTAAAAATTTTTTTTGAAGGTGAGGGGCTGGGGATGTAGTCCAGGGGGAAGACTCAGGATTCAATCCAAAATACTAAAAAAGGGCCAGGGATTTATTTAGCTCAGTGGTTCTGCTGCTTGCCTCAAAAGTTCAAGGTCCCGAGTTTGATCCCTGGTACCAAAAATAAAAAAAAATTTAAACATCCATATAGGGAGAGAGATTCATATGCACGTGCATGCAAGTAGGTGTGTGTGTGTGTGTGTGTGTGTGTGTGTGTGTGGAGAGAGAGAGAGAGAGAGAGAGTCTTTCACTATAAAAAAGAGTGTGTCTCAGAGCCGGGGATGTAGCTCAGCAGCACAGCACCTGCCTGGCAAGCACAAGGTCCTGAGTTCAATCCCCAGCACCAAAAAAAAAGAGTGAGTCTCATTCGAACCTAACTCAGAGCTGCCCACACTGTAACAACTACTGATCTGTTTGTCTCTCATCCTAAAAGCCCTGACAGCTCCTCCTCTAACCCCAGCACACATCAGGTGCTCTGGAGTCACCAACTGAAGGAACGGAGGGCATGAGTCCTGGTAGCAGGCGAGACAATGGCCAGGTTAGCTTCATTTAGGGTGGGAGGGCAAGTAAGGCCCCAAGGCGGGGCAAGTGAACTTCAGATAAAGGAGATGCCAGAATATGGCTTCAAAAGGTAACTGTGTTTGGCCCATAGAAAAGAAGAGAGAGGGTTTTTACCTAACTCGTGTTGAGAGAGATCACGTGTATACGTGTGAGTGTGTGTGTGTGCATGTGTGTTAGGGCACTCTACCACTGTGCTACCTCCCCAGCCTTTATTATTTTGAGATGGTTTCTCACTACACTGCCCAGGCTGGCCTCGAACTCCTGGGCTCAAAAGATCTTCCTGGTTCAGCCTCCTGAGTGACTGGGACTGCAGGCACACACCACCACAACAGGCTTTTATACTTTTGATTCTGAGAAAATTAATATTTCCTAAAATTTTATTGGAAGTAGCCAGGCGTGGTGACCCAACACTTGTAATCCCAGGACTTTGTAAAGCTGGGGCAGGAGGACCAAAAGTTGGAGCTCAGCCTGGGCAACTTAACGAGACCTTGTCGCAAAACTTTTTTAAATGGGGTGACGGTGTCTGAACAAAACCAAAAAGCGCTATAAATGCCAGGCCAGTGTGGGAGGAGCAGCGTGGAGTGGGAGTCAGGGGAGCAGAGGGGGCTGGCTGTTCCTGCTCCTACCAACCTCACTCCCGCAGGGCAACCAGGCTGGGGGGGGGGGGCGCTGAGCACGAGCTCCCCTGCGTCCGGCTGCCCCTGTGCGCCTCAGACCGCGCCCACGCCAGCACCCACAGCCCCCGCTGCACCCCACGCTGCGCCGGCGACAGCTGTGCATCCACTGGGAGCCGCAGTGAGGCCGCCCGCGTGGCACAGACAGCTCCCGCTTCCCAGCTCCCCGGCAGCCCTCCTAGGCTCCGAGCCCGCCCGCCGCGACACAAAGGTGGCGGTATAGGTCCCCTCGCGTCTGCAGCCTTGGGGTCGCTGCTGCTGGGCAACAGGGAGGCTCTCGATTGCCTGAAGGCCGAATTCAGTTATTCACTGCACAAATCCGGGGGCGCAGCCAGGGATAAAAGCGCCAGTACGCTCTGGCCTAGAGGACTCCTAAGGGGAGAGAAAACAGCCCTTAAAACCCACGAATGGCTCAGTGGTTTCGCCGCCTGCTGCGCAAGCGCAAGGACCCGAATTCGATCCCCGGTACCAAAAAAAAAAAAAAAA